CCAGGTCTTAAAAGGTTTAATGTTTAGATTTAACCATTTAATTTATATTCAAAACACACACACACATACCGTATGTGGGTATAGAATACAATAGAAAATCCCTTTATTGTCCCACATTGGGAGTAATTGTGTTACACTAGCAAAAGTTATAGCAAATGTGGTCCTTTAAATGTGTATAGAAATAACAAAATAAGTGACAAATATTCACATATTTAAAATAGGTTTATATGTATATACAGGTGCACACATCTTTAATCTTGACATAGTTTTATATAATCGCACCTATTAATGCTTAAACATGTATATATGCACATGTACATTTAAAAACAGTCTGTACTGTATGCAAGCTAAAAGCTTTGAAAAAGAATTGTCTTGCACAGGTTTTTCCTAGTTTTGCCGATCTGCAGCTTTAGTGTGCCCAGTTTGGCAACTGCTTTCTGCCACGTACAATATGGTGGTGATGTCGATGTGCAATCCTGCCCTCAATGAGGCATCTAAATACCGTATATATGTCTGTGGTTACACTCCTGATCAACCTCAGGAGTTGTCACAAAGTAAATGACTGAACTAGGACTTAGTGATTTAGCTTAAAAAATTTTCCAAACAAATCATATTAAAGGATTTTTATAAATTTTTTTCTCTTCATAAGAAAAACACGTCACTGTCAGAAAGTAGCTTTTAATTCCACTATCCCCTTTGGAAGGAGACCTTCTTTTACTGGGTAATGAAGTTCATGCTGCAAAAAAAGGTTTCTTAATGAAAATAATCTTTGCAGCTAGTTCTGTTACACAGTAATCTAGTTTAGCAGTTATAAGTACATATCTAAAAACAAAAAGTGATGAACTGATACCAAGAAGTGCATTGCTGCAAAAAAAAAAAAAAAAATCTAGATTATTGAAAAATAAATGTTTACAAGCATAAAATTCACCTAGCCTTACTATGAAAAGTGAGATGGAACCAAGACTGTTATCATCCAAAGCTATAACTATAGCAGCTATATAGTTCTGGTGAGCCAACAATGTTATTGGTTTGTAAGGGACAGTGTATAATAATGAACATTTCTGTAAATGTACCAGAATTAGCCTTAGCAGCTATTTTTCATCTGCTGTGCCTGGACAGATGTTAACATTTATGCTAAAAACAAGTCAAACAAACACTTAATTACATTATGTAAAAAAAAAACCATTAAAAATCATGCAACAGTTCATTGAGTTGGTGCTGACAGGATGATCAGTGAGCCACTTCCTCAGATTAACCTTAAAAATGTTGAAAGTGGCCTTTTCCCTGTTGACCATTGCTACTGTGTTAAAACGCCATCCTCCAGGATCCATTTCATCTGAAACATCTGATCATCTAGAAAATATGTTGAAGTGTGCATCACTTGTCCTTGCCTCATCAACACCATACCATGTCTGAGGATCACATACCTTATATATGGAGAAATCAGCTGTGGATAGATGTTTTAGCTACCGGGCTCACATCTTGTGAAGTGGCCCCGATTCACAGTTAGAGAATCATTTTTTAAAGTCAGGCTAATGAAAATATATGAAATGTGCATCTTATTTTGAAAATGAAAAATATAAAAGTTACCACTCTGACGCCATGGGAGATGTATATATACGGTACATCTCCCATGGCCTGCACAGTCACCAGATCTAAATATTATTGAGCCACTTTGGGGTGTCAGGAAACATTTTCCTCCACCAGCAGTCGTGACCTGGCCACTATCCTGCAAGAAGAATGGCTTAAAATGCCTCTGACCACTGTGCAGGACTTGTATATGTCATTCCCAAGACGAATTGATGCTGTATTGGCTGCAAAAGGAGGCCCTACACCATGCAAATAAATTACTGGGGTCTAAAACCAGGTGTT